GTGATAATGTATCATAAACGTATTGTAATATGAAAAGACATATAATAATACATAATGGAAAATGAAGATTTTCTATTAAAACAAGCATGTTCAATTAAATTTTTTTTCTTTTTTTGCCCGATAAGAATTAAGTTTTAAACTGATCTTATGGGTTTCACAACCTTTTACCTTTAACATGTTCAATTAAGTTGGTTCTGATTTTTATTATTTATTTTTGCAGACACTGGTAACATTTAGTCCAGAATAATCAAATAAAGAGCTTCACTGTACACCCTGCTACTAATGTGTAAATGAAAAGAAGTGTTGCTCCCTATAAATTCTAAACTATTCTGTCTTTTAATTGGTTTAGAATCTCCACATGTGGCAAATAATTGGCTAAAAGCTCATTCAGTCACAAAGTGACACATCTAGCTAGTGTTTGGTCCTATGTGAACAACTTTGCAACCTTTAACACCACATTTCTTTAGTCCACAAAACACTAAAGAACTTTTTTCAAATACATTGGGCCTCATGCAAGAACCGTTCGTACGCACAGATTTGTTCTTAAGTTGTGCGTACGAGTGATTAATTTGTGGCATTCACCAATGTTTTCGTATTCTAAGATTTTTTTCAGAAACAAACAAAATTCACTAGTGGTCCAGACCTGTCGTATATTTTACGAACAGTCAGTCTGCTGTTATCCAGATGGATTTTTCTCACTAATAACTTCACATTTCATTAGTTTGAAGATATTTTGAGTTGAAAATAAATTACACTCCGTAATTATGTTGACAATAGGTTATTCTGTTTGAACTGGAATTAGATTTTAAGTGTAACTAACCACATAAATTGGTTAGATTAAATTAAATTGCTTTTAATGTTGTTGTATAACACTACAATACTAATAGGAAGATCATAAACTAAAAACCAACTTAAAGGGGCAATATTATGTGTTTCTCAGGCATATATTTAAATACTATACCATAATAAAGTATCTATGTCACATTTAGTTGTTATTAAAATGCTATTTTTATGTTTAAATAGAAAATAAACTTATCTTCTCATCACTTCCTCTTCTAAACGCCTTGAAATTGATCCTTGTCTCTTTAAGAACCACCTTCCGCTTCTGTCCCGCCCATTTCTGGGGGGTGGGGGGTCTATGA